AATTAGATGAAATTTTTAAAATAGTTCAAATTATTCGAATTAGTTAGTTCAAACTTACATATCATTATTCATAATAATTGGAGTACAGAGCACACAACTTGAGATTTGAACTAATGGGATAAGAAATAAAGTGTGGTGACCTTGATGTCTTTTTGACGTTAGATAATTTCTTCTTTGAAAAATTTTGTTTTTAGCTTGTATGTCAGATTGTGAAATATTTTATACTTTAGAGCCATGTGGAATTAGATAATTGTTCACTTTGTAACCGTCCAGCATGGTAACCGTCCGGCGACGGAGGCAGTTAAAGTGAAATAAAAAATGTAATAGCAACTTTATATACTTCCAAGTCGATTGAAGGCATCCGGTCTGTACCAAAGGCAAAGGGCAACTGAATAAAACCCGACGACAGCCGAAACACGAAGTTTGCCGAGAGACATTGAGAAAATAGAAGCACTGTACAAAAGTAACAACTACGAAACGAAAGTACACTGTAACAAGCACGAAGAAAAATTCGTAAGATTTGCTGACTCGGTCTGTAGCTTACTTGGTTAAGAGCGATGGCACCATCATGGCAACGGATACTGGTTCGAGTGCAGTCAGACCGCAGGAAGTTTTCTTTGTTTTTTTTTCGATCTTTGTACCAATAATAATAGCATACGAGTTTCGTTCCTTATTTTTGTACTAAAATACAATGTAATCGAATAATACCCTTCTCAATAGCCAAATCGTTCAAAAAGCATCGAATGTTTAGAACCAAATTATCGGTGCTCTAAAAAGGGTAACTGCTCCGTAGTGCCACTTTGTGATATCTTTCCCCTATACAAGAGTCGTATAAAGTAATGTTCTATCAGACCCTCGGACAAAGACCTCTTGAACTGATGATATTGCCCACGTTTCCCATAATCAGGGTGTTCACCTTCCTTAAACTGCATGGATCATGACTAAGAGGCGTTTGAACGTGAACGCATGTTGTCTACGGAATAGACACTTGAACCTGAGACTGTTGTTAAAGTTTCAGAAAGATATGTGTTTTTACTGCAGAATCAACTATGGACACTTCGGATCTCTGGAGCGAACTTGACGCTTCCGTTCCATTACATTAGGTATGTAAAATGATCATAATTCATTACATGTCCTGAAGTCACAATTTATGAGAATGTTATGGACCACAGGCATGGACAATATTTTATTATATTGAAAAGTTAACATAAATGATCTTATCGAGTTCTTAGGTTTTCGCGATTGTTACACATAGGCAACGAAACTATTTTTTTGCGGATTTAAATCGCATATATTTGTTTTTTCTTTCGATAATCTTTTGATGTAAGTGAGTTTGTACCCTGCTGAGTAAAACCTCCAAAACTGTATGGGTTACCAAAAATACATAAGGCTGACACCCCACTCCGTCCCATAGTTAGCTAGATTGCCACACCAACCTACAAACTGGCTCAACACATGGCAAAGGTACTGTCACTATTGAGAGGGAATACTTCTAGGCATGTGAAGGATTCATACCATTTCATCAGTGGAATCAAAGATCTACGGTTAACTGATGACGACACCATGGTAGTTTTAATGTTCAGTCGCTGTTCACCAACCTACCAGTAAAATACTGCATTGAAATTGTACGTAGAAAGCTAAGGGAACATAATACGTCCATTGAATATGCAGAACTATTAGAACACTGCCTAACATCAAGCTATCTATTGTGAAATAATGAATTCTACGGTATACCGATGGGCTCTTAGGTATCTCCCGTTGTTGACGATATTTTCATGGAAGACTGGAGCGAGTTTCACCCTTAGCCCCAGCTAGGCCGAAGATTTTCAAATGGTACGTTGCATATCTGCTTTCTTGGACCATCTTAATTCTCTTAGTACTAAGATCCAATTTACCATGGAACAAGAGCATTGTGATACTTTAGCTTTCTTAAATGTTTTAATTAAAAGAAATCCTTAGGCCATAGTGTATTTCCAAAAAAAACCGATACAGATAGGTATCTCAATGGTAATTCCCATCACCATCCTAGCCAGTTAGCTACCGTGGGCAAATCTTTGTTTCAGAGAGCACATGGTGTCTGCGACGATAATCATCTGGCAGGGGGACTTCAGCATATAAAGCAAGTCCTACATGCGAATAAGTTGAAGATTCCACGCCAATGCGCAGGCCCCGTGTGAAACCACCAACAGTCGAGCGAAGACCTGCCATTTCACCTTACCTGAGAGGTGTAACAGACAAGATCGGAAGAGTCCTCAGGCGTGCATCTATCAAGACCTATTTCAAGTCCCTGAGGAACACTTCTTAGTTCCTGAGACCCGTGAACATCCCCTTACAGCATGCAGGAGTTTACAAGCTTGACTGTGAGTGTATTCTCTCTTATATTGGACAAACGAAGCGAAGTATTTGTACCCGCGTCAAAGAACATATAGTTGATTTCAAACTCCATCGCGTAAACAAGTCTGCAGTCTGCGAGCATGTCACGGATAAACCTATACATTCAATGAAGTTTGACAAGCCCCAGATTCCTGCAAAAAAGTTCGTTATCTACCCAGGATGCTGCGAGAGGCCATTGAAATTCAAAAACATCCTAATTTCAACAGGGACGATGGTTTCTCCGTACCACCAGTTTGGGATCCAGTATTTCCTCTGATGAAAATTCCTAAACAGACATAAGACTGCAGTACTAATGAATACGAGTATGTTTTAATTTATTCTAATTTCTATTATTAATTAATAATAAATTTAACTTAATAAAATTCATTCAATAAAATAATTTGTAAAACGTAATGTGACGTAAATTGGAATGTTTTCTTTGTAAAATCGAAAATAAGGTATTTAATTAATAATTTTTAAGTTTTTTGTAACTATAGTGAAAAAATAGGGTAGTTTGCATTAATATTAGACATAACTGGTTGATGACTGTACCACCTCAGTCAGACCTGTAAAGGGCCCGAAACGTCGTTTTGTTTGAAAAAACATATATACGCGATTTAAATCCGGAAAAATAGTTTCATTTCCTATAAATAATCTTTTTCGCCAAAAATTATGAATCATCATCATTGTCATTTCAGCCAAAAAGACTTTCACTGCTGGACATAGCCTTCCCCCAAAAATCGCCACAAAGACCCGTTTTGTGCCTTCACCAGGTGATCGGTACACCTTGTGACTAATTGCAGACTACTCTGTCCACGATGCGTCTTCCGGCACGCGGTCGTCACTCGAGAAGTTTTTGACGCCATCGGTTATATTGTTCTGCAAACAATGAGCCCCGCCCACTGTGACTTCAAAATAGCAATTCTTTGGGCAGTTACTTTGGTTCTTTTGCGGATAGCGTCGTTTCTGATTCGGTCTGACAATAAAAGTCCTAGCATAGCCCTTTTCATTGCTCTTTGGGTGACCTTGAGCCATCTTATGAGGCTCTTATTGAGTAACCACGTCGTGGTGCCGTAAGTTATCACTGGCAATACAAACTGGTCAAAGATTTTTGCTGAAACACTGTAGTATTTTGACAAGAAGATATTATGAATGTAATTTTGTAACTGTTAAGTAGGAGGAAAATCGAGCTGAAAGTAAAGAAATTTTAGATTATAGATATTAGAGAAACGAACGAACTATAGCTAAAAATACGTTGACAATGAGCGATAAAATATATAAAAGTATTTACATATAAAAAAAAGCACTTATATCTGCCCCATCCACTAGCTGATCAGCAACAGTACCTAACTAATAATAATCATCTTTAATATCCAAAATAATAATATTTAATTTAATCAATTCAATTTAATTTCCTTCCTGAGCGCCGATTTTGTGTCCCAGTTTGCT